AGTTTCCCCCATTTTCGGAATTCGTTGTCGCTTTATCCAGGATTTATAAAAATTATTCAGCCGTGTTACATAAAAAAGGGACATATTCATCAGTTTTTAAAGTTTGTTTGTTCACGGCAACCCGGTGCAATATCAATTATGTTTTCGCTCGCTACTGTGGTACTGTATAAATGAACACAAAGTCCAGTCAAATAGTAATCAAGATCCTTTCTTTTTTTCTTTTTTATTTAACGTTTCGGCACTCCAGTCTGGTGTCTTCATCAGGGGTGATTTAAAATTGCGATGTGAGTTCTTAAATACCAAAGGGATGACGTCACCTGCCAATAAGATGCATGTATTCTTCTGGCAAATAGGCACCGTCATCCCTATTGAAAGCATGATTACTCATATTAATATACCACGCTTCTAAATATGGCAATTACTTTATAATTTTCCCACGGAATTTAGTGTTTGGTGTCACACACATGTTCTGCTGAAGCTGATTTCCCCTTGTCTAAAGTTGAAAACGCCTTTTGATGTTCTTTTAGCCGTGCACCAAACTGGTGTTTAGACTGATCCAAATACTCTTGGTCGCAGCCACCGCATGGTATAGGATATACAACATGAGTTTTCTGATTTGCTTTAACAGGATCTTTCGGCTTTACGAATATATGGCATAAAGTCAAATAGGGTTTTAAGAGCATCTGCCTGTAGAAACCGAGAATCTCAAGTCAAATGAAAATATTCGAATTTTTTTATTTCACCAAATCAACCCATTTAGTGTTCCTACAATGGAAAAATTACGAAAAAGCTACTGCGATTAATTTCGTAAGATTTTTACAAAATTCTGATTTCGCGGTTAATGAGTTGATTTTCATGCTCGAACCGGTTGACATTTAACCCAAATTTCTGAAAGGACTGACGGATAAATATAAACCCGATAAACCCCATATTCCTAACATGTTTTAAGGTACTATTAGAGTTTACCATCTGACTGTTATTACGATCCTAATTTTATCTGCTATTTTATTATGGAATTTTTTAAGCGTCCCCCTTTTCCAAGCCTCACAAAATATACAAAAAATGGCTAAGTTTAATGGGTATAAAATGTTCCTGGTACCCAAAAGTTTGAAACAAAAATACAGCGTCTTAAATCCTGATTATTGCTTGTTAAACCGCAAAAGTTTCATGCTTGGAATCGAAGTGGTTTTGCATTTACAAATAAAAGTGTCAAGTAAGGTATATCCCATTTGGACGTCATGCCAACCGGCACGTATAGCTAAACAGACGTCTAGCCATGGAAAAAAACTGATAGTTATAGCTAGTGTTGCGAGAATACGGAAAATATAACTACGGATGCAAGTTACGAGATTTTGAGCTTTTAAACCGATAAAATCGGAGTAGGAAGTATTAAATGTCTTATCCCGGTCTGGCTCGCTTAAAGGGAAATGGCAATATATTTTTTTTCATCTTTAAAATAAAGCTTAGCTTAAAACTTACTAAAAATGAGTAAAAGTTTAATCTTTAAAAAGTTGCGTCCGTAGAAAATAGTGATTGTTTATACCCAAATATTGTGCTTCGTCCGCCATCTTGAAATGAATTCTTGTATGCTAATTTATGCAGATTTAACATCTGTGACGTCACAACCTGGGTTGAAGGTTATAGCGCGAAATGTAAATATTTTGCCGGCAATTCTTTCACGATGTACTGTCCCGTTTACGCGTGCACAAGCGATAGCAAAAAGAATACTGAAAAGAAGACACACTTTTTCGCATTCCCAAAGCCGATTAATGAGGAAGAACAAAAATGACTCAACATCTGGATTGAATTTTGCAAGAGAAAAAGCTTCGTTCCGTCAAAATGCACGTGTTTGTGTTCATTACATTTTAGCCAAGATGCATATATACCCTCACATTCTCCTTGCTTTTTGGAGTCAATAAACTTTAATGGAAAACGAAAATTATTGCTTAAACCCAACGCCGTACCGACTATAAATAAAGCACTTGATGCAGCTAAATCAGACAAGCCTTCAGAAACCAAGAAGAGACAGACAGGAATTCTGTCGAGGAGAAAAGTAAGTGTATTATGTAATTATGATAGAGGGTCCTAAAGGGGTAAAGTGGATGCTGGTATTCGCCTGTTTTTGGGCTGAGAAATGGTGATCTCATCCACTGAGACTGGGATTCACCATCAACAAAAAGCAATAAAAGAATAGGAGAACTGGGACCCCCCCCCCCCCCTCTCAGGACCCCATTGCTTATGGATACAACTTGATGTAGTATGGAGGAGGAGTGGGCTTAGTGAAGGCTTGCTTGAATATTGCCATAAGGAGGGTGTTGACTATACCAGTATTAACAGCCCCCAGCAAGGTCCAAGTGATTAGCTGCTATTAACTTGGGGGGGGGGGGCACCTAATCAGAAAGCTCAGGGCCAAAAAAATGCTGAATATTAATAATCATGAACAACAGAGGCATTGCAACACCAACCTCGTACCCAGGGCTTCTGCGCTCCCTGGGTACGAGGTTGTGGCAACATGGGTATATAATTCAAAACAATTAATATGATATGGAAATTGGCACCCCGTCTTGGCCAAGGCTGGGGGAGGGTGCTTTATGCCCTCCCCCCCCCCCCCATATCCATCTCCGAATAAGAAACCACATGTAATGCAAATGCACATACTTAGTTTTATTTGTTTTTTAAGGAGGTTGATCACTTGATATTTCAAGCAAAAATATCTGTTGAAGCGACAAATGCCACAGAAATTGAAGAAGCCACATCTGGTACTGAAACATGCGAACAGGAGGTTACATGCAATGTCGCCAGACCCTCAAACGCAATCCATGTTCAAACTTTGCCAGTGGAATATTCTGGGAGAAGTCAAGGTACACAAACAAAAGAAAGTACCAAAACCAAGGTCACAAAAGGAACACAAACCTACATCACCAGTGACTTGTTGTCAAATTACTTGTCAAAGCACAAGATGGTCTCAACCGGTTCACAAACTGATCCAGTCAACATGGTTATGGACAAAGATGAAAACACCAATAGCGATGAAAGTGGGAAAGCAAGTGAAGGTGTGAGCATTACACAGGCTCATTGGAAGTTAGCAGAAGTACTAAGAATTCAGACCTACAGCAATCAGAAAATGAATCAGACGTTGAAGAAAGTTTTGATGAAGAAAGTTGTACTGAAGACTGTAGTATGACATCAGGAGAGGAAAGTGAAATGGAAGGATGTCCTGAAAAAGACAAGGAGCAGGATGAACCAATAATTCTCACCAGTGAGAAGTCTGTCAAGGACCAATTAAAATTTATAGTTTGTGAAGAGGCTATTGCAACAACTTTTAGTGTGTGCCTTAAATGTGGAAGCCGCTGCTCTGTTTTGGTCACAAGTATAATTGGAAGCTACTGCAAGATCTTAATCTCATGTTTATCTTCAGCACAGCATAATATATCCTGGTCAACAGGACCCCTTATGAATAGATTACCTGCTTTTAACCTACTTATGGCAGCTAGTATCCTAAGCACTAGTATGGAATCTAACAAAACAATGCGATTTATGGAATCATTAAACATTTTGTGCTTCAAGAGGCGAGAGTTGTCAAACATCAAAAGTGCATATGTTATCCCAGCTGTAATAAGTGTTTGGGAAATGGAACAGCATAAATTATTGGATGATTTAAAGGGAAAAGCAATTGAGATAGCATCAGATATGCGAGTGGATAGCCCAGGACATTGTGGACTACTTGGTGCTGGAAGTTAACTTGATGTCAACAGAAATGTCATTCTGGACACTCTAATAATCAAAGTAATTTGATGAGTTATAAGTAATGATATGCTACCTACATATACTAACATGTTAACAAAAACCTAACAAAATGTGCCATTATATTTATAGAGCACTGAAGTTAAGAATTCAAATGGAAAGGAATTGGAATCCCTTAAAAGACAACTTGCTTACCTTGAAGAGTCTAATGTGGAAGTCAAAACGCTTGTCACAGATAGACATACACAAGTATCAGCCTACATGGCTCAAGAAAGACCAAATATCAAACATACTTATGATGTCTGGCATTTAGCAAAAGGTAGATGCTCATATACCGGTACATAAATATTTCCAATAGTTAGGGACACTGTCATACGAGAGTTGCATATACCGGCCATGGTAAAAAATTTTCCTATTATGTCATTTTTTAACTCACATTGCTTTTAGGGCCCCTTTTCGTGTGGGACATTTTTGTTCTTATTTACAGCAGCCCTGCTTTTACCTTAGTAACTCTTTCATGTCTGCATCTATAGGCGAGAAGAAAAGGTTGCTGAAAATTGCAAAAACCAAGAAATTTTAAGCTATAAAGCCTTGGATTGGGGTACAGCTATTAAATTTAGATACTCATTAGTCTGGTAGAGTTTGCTAAATTTGTGTAAGTGATTGGCCGAAATTAAATTTTACTTCTTTTTGTCTAGTCTATCATAAATCACATTTACTGGGTGGCCATTTCAAGCAAACATGAAGATGAAAAGGAGGAAAAGTGGTTGAGCCTTTTGAATCATATTGTCAATGTGCATGTTCATAAAGATTTTGAACTTTTTAGGGTATGCACCAATGAAGTATTGGATAGAGAATGGCTAAAACCAGGTATGCATAGACAGATTTTCAGATTTTGCTGTGAAGGCATGCCAAAAATTCAGGGGGGGGGGGACTGAGCCAGAGGGCTCGTGCACAGAGCCTGCACACATTTCCTCTCATTCATACAACTCAAAAAATTAAATTTTGGTTTTCCAACTCTGTTCTGCAGCGTACAAGAAACTGGAAGAAAATTTAACCCGACCCAGACTAATAACGGCAATTCGGAAGTTATCAGATTACCACCAAACATCATCGCTGGAAGCAAAACATGCACTGGATAACCAATTTGCTACTAAAAAGATATACTGCCCATATCATTCTTTGATGACCAGGTTTATATATTACCAATTTGTGTGTTCTCTGTAAATAAATTTTGAGTGGTTAACCATCTATTACTTTTAGGTTATTTTGCTCAAATATGCATTTTAATGAAAACTCACAAAGGAAACAAGCCAAGACAAAAGAGGGAGAAGACCGGTGGGTTGTCGTTTACCCAAAGGCACACAAAGGGGAAAAATCTATTGCAAGAAAAATAAAAGAGGAAGCAACATACAGTAAGTTTAACAGCAAATACAGTAGTATTAGTCAATTCATCCTACCTATATGCATCTATTTTATATATAGTTATCTTTGAGTGTATCATGTTCTATCAGGACAAGATAGTATAGTACTAAGAGTAGATATAGGTTGTTGGAGATAAAATAAATCTGTAAAGCCAACAGGCTAGTAAAACAATCTATCTTGATTATGCATATGCTTTTATTGTTAATTTAGAATATATAGAGGCAGTCCAGCTTGAAAGTCTCAAATTGCGAGCAAAGTACCGCACTCTAAAGAGAGCACAAAAACACGCCAATCATGTCACTACCTAAAGAACCAATGTCACTTGTGGAGCAATACCTGGGTGGTAATCAAGCAGAATCCAAGGCATCCGTCGTTGCCAGGCGGTATAGCAGATTTTCGAAGCCAGCCTATCCAGTTGAAAATGGGTCCGTCTGCATGTGTTCTGGCAAATGTGCTACTGTTAGATGTGCATGTAAAGCACTTGGAAACAAATGTACATCAGATTGCCAATGTAAAATAGATATATGTTCAAACAAGTAAATATTGTATATAACTGAATCCGCCAAGCATCTTCAACATGGAATAATCCATTATGTATATATACATCCATGACCATGATTGATGTGAATTCATTTAGCAAACTTAAAGTGAGTGTACAAACCAGTCGGGGAAGAAAATTCTTTGCGGATACATGTATAAACACACGAATTATAAGGGAAAACTCTGCGCACCTTTTTGCCCAAAATGGTAAAAACCCATCTCGAACATCTTCTGTACGAAACGAGACGATATAGTTTATGTGTCTGTTCTAATTGATCGTCTCTAAGAGGCCAATTTTCTTCCAAATATTGTGAAACATTGACATCAAGCACGTCCTTTGATAGCATATTTTGCACAAACGAAGACAGGCTTGTTATACAAGTGAACTCTTGATTTTGTGCGCTAGTAAATTTGTCGTCGTATTCGTCGTACTCCAATGCTTTCTCGTGGCAACATAAGCTTTCAATGGTCTTCTCCATTATCGCACATTTACCGCACTTACACCATTCAAGGGTAGTACGACGCCAAGCATTAGCCGATTCGAATTCTTCGTCAAACTCGTCCTCTTCTGACCCAGAATCTTTACTCGAATCGTCACTAGCTTCGCCATGTTCCCCCTTGTCTGGCTCAAACATGTACGGTTCAATAACCTGCTCTTTGCTGCCGAAACTTTCATCTTTTTTCTCATTTGTTGCGAAGCTTTCTTTGCTTGCCATACTTCATTGTATTTAGGCGAAAACAACAACCCAGGTTGTGCATGACGTCACAAACATATTTCACAAGAACGCTAATTTGCTCGAAATATCATCCGCGATGGCGGACGAAGCACAATATTTGGGTATAAACAATCACTATTTTCTATGGACGCAACTGTTTAAAGATTAAACTTTTACTCATTTTTAGTAAGTTTTAAGGTAAGCTTTATTTTAAAGATGACAAAAAAATATATTGCCATTTCCCTTTAAGCGGGTGAGTGTTATATATTGCTGTGTTTGCGCGAATACATTGTTGTAAATAGAATTTTCTCGACAGATTTCAATCACAAAAGGCCCTGTGAACAAGGCGATTTAGACTGTGGGTGATAAACCGTGAAAGTTTCTCCGAAAGTGTGGAATTTCATGTTCGTGAGAAAAGATGTATACTATTTATAGCGGTGCATGAGCCCAGCACGCGTTAAAAGCAAAGTTCTGTTCTGAAAAATCTCATGTAAACAAACATGGCCTAAAATTCTCCCAGGTACCTGGGCAATTGGATTGAAACTGCATGGATATTATTCCACTTTCGTGCAATATTTATTAATTTTGTACTCGCGCAAATACGGACATACGGTAATAAAGTACAGTGTTAGTGTAACCAAACTGTCTTGGGAGTTAGTCGCTATAGTAAGATGATATGGCATTGTGCGGTTATGCGTTAGTCAAATCCAAGCATGCCCATCCCCCCGGGCCACCCCGGGGCATTTTCCTTTAAAGCACGTTCCGGGGGTTGGGCATTTTGAACTCAAACTTTTGTCCGGGGGCGGCGCATTTGAAATTAAGGATTTGGAGGTTTTAAGATCACAGATTGCTTGATAATAATATAAAACAGGACAATACAACACGGGTGAATTTCGTTCTCGACCAATCAGAGCGTTTGTTTACATTTTCGCTCTTAGCAGTAATGAAGATGCAGGAAACGGGAAATGTACACCAAATCGGGCTAGAAAATATGCTGTCTTCTCTAGCTTCGTTGCAATTCAATTTTTACTTTTTTTAATTTCAAACCAATATATTATTATAGAACACATTAAAATCTAAAAATTTACCGTAGGAAATTTTAAATTTCGTCCTAGAACGGAAAATATAGAAGTTTGAAAATTTTCCCTATGGCGGTCATATAAATTTGAGTATGCTTCAATTCCTTCAAATGACTGCAACGAGATTTAAAATTGCTATATTTTCTCTGCTTGAATTTTTGCAGGTAAATTCTTTTTCGCTTTTATTGAAAGTCGTTTAGGTCAATGTATTATTTCAAAACTGGGACGATAACGCGTTTATAGTTGCTGATATTCAAAAAATATAGCCACACGCTGCGGTCACACGGGTTTTGTATTGATTTCCCGTGTGATCGCGAGCGTGTGGCCAGGGCATTTTTTAACTATATAACTGGGGGGCCAAAGACCCCCTCCAGCCCTATATATATATATATATATATATATATATATATATATATATATATATATATATATATATATATATATATATATATATATATATATATATATATAATCAAATATCTGTAATCGATATTTTGATAACAACATTTCTCGTAATAATCCATCCTGACTCGCGGATAGCATAGACTCCCAAATCGTTAAGAACGAATTAATGCAAGGGCCTAACAAAAGATGTGGAGAAGACTTTGAAAATGCCATTTCCGACAATTTAGAGACTCAAAATTTTCAAAATTTTTTCGCTCTGTGCCAACTATGGTGGCGCTTCGTGGGAGATGGGCCCTCTAAGTTTATAAAGCTTGCTCCCTGAGTGACGGCCAAGTTGTGGTAGCTGCATAAACATACTATGCAAGTACTTAACTGAAGGTTCAGTCTATCTACAGCATAATGTAATGCTGTGTAAGACCGTCGTAATTTTGTGGATTTAACTCGCTCTACGTGTGTGCCATTGATTTCGATATTGATGGAGGCATCATTCAGAGAATGGGAGGAAGCCAGTTGTGCGGTAGATAGCATCATGACTGTGGTCTTCGATGGTTTGATGACCAGGTTGGCTTCCCTCGACCATTGATGACCAGCTTGCGAACACTTGACTGCATATCATCTACAGCATCTCATAATGTTAAAATACTGCGAAAAAGACTTCCGATCACTTGAAATTTTGTAAAATCAGTGGAGACAATATAATTGTATATCGATCATTATTGTACAGTAACTTATGCCAGAGACTTTTGCTGTATTAGGCATATCGTTCCGTACTGATACTCTTTTCAAAAAGGTGGTTTCCATGTGGTTTGCTAACTACGTAATGGTTGGCGTTGCTTCTTAAATCGTATGTTCCGTTACATTTTCGCGCTAAACATTTCACGTATAGATTCTGGTACTGCATATATATAAAACTTGCCTTTTTGCTTTGAAATGAAGTTTTAAGGATTTCCAATTTAGTTCGATAAATATATCGATTGACCTTATGTCATATGTTCTACCATGCAGTGATCACATGCACGTGCGGCTCGATTTTGTAGCTTTTGAAGTTTGTCTAAAAGATAATCTGTGCAGTTGCCCCAAACCAAACAGCAGTAATCAAAATGGGATACTCCATCATACACCTTTTAGCAGGGTTGCTTTTGGAATATACTTTTTCATCCTCCGTATCATGCCTATGCCTTTTGAGAATCTAGTTATGGCATTTTCTATTTGGTCTTTCCATGTTAGCTTTTCATTTAATGCCCAATGTTTTTGTTTTGATTACTCGTTTAACTGTTTGACCCTCACAGTTCAATTTTTGGATCTATAATATTACATAATCGCTGTCGAGAGCCAACAATCATGTACTCAGTTTTCTGCTTATTTGCCGTTTTGTGGACCCGCACGTGCATGATATGGTTTATTACTTTTGCCCAACGGGCAAGTACAATATTGAACTTTGACAGTACCATAATAATTGAAAATTTTCTGGTTCCTGTTGATTTTTTATTACTCAAGGACTCAATGAACTGGCAATATTATAACCATAGTTTTGCTTATTTGTAAATTTACTACCAGCCGTACTTGGTTTACGTGGCTAAGGCCCCGAAACTAACTGGGAGTAAGAGATGAAAATACCTCAGACCGCGGTCTCCAGTCATTCCGCCTGCTGGACCGAGCCGACTGACTTCATGCTTCAGACCGGCATGAATTCAGGCCGGGATGAATGCGAACAACTACATTTTAGACCGGTCTCGGCTTTACTCTTGACATTGGAACAATACCTGCTAAAAAAAGCCATATAAAAAAGAAAATTGCCTGGCAAGGGGAATAAATTGAAAATTTTGTGATTTTCGTATCGGTCTCATGTAAATATGTTGACAATTTCAATTTTCATTCCCGTTTGACTTCGTCCTGGTCTCATGTAAACGCGGCCTTATACTCTTCGCAGGTGGCGGCCACTGCATCGTTTACTTGTTTAGTGAAAGTGCTCAAAAATTAGATTATAGAAAAAGGTATGCAGCCAAACCCATAAGTGTTTCGACCATTGTAAAGCTTTTAAAGGTACTCTTGCCGACTTAATTGAAAAAGTAACAGAAGCTAAATTCCTATTGTACATATACCTACACTGCACATGCATGTACAATGAAATTATAACACATATGCTCAGATAATAAATTGTATTTCAAGTTTAAATACTACGCATTTGATTCAATTCCTTTCGTGGCGTGACAGACCGGCGGATGACGTTTGTAGGCCTACGCGGTAAAATATAAATTTGCCTGAGACGTCATTCATTTATTAGCGTTTTTGTGACATTTATCTAATTAGACATCTAATGCTTTATACTCCGGTTTTATCGGTTTACAAGCTCAAAATCTCGTAACTTGCATCCGTAGTCATATTTTTTGCATTCTTGCAACGCTTTAAAACGTTATAACTACCAAATTTTATTCTCAAAAATGTTTTGCTATCAGTTTTTTCCATGGCCAGACGTCTGTTTATCTATAGGCGCCGGTTGACATGACGTCCTAATGGGGTATACCTTACTTGGCAAGTTTATTTGTAAATGGAAAACCACTTCGATTCCAAGCATGAAACTTTTATGGTATAATAAGCAATAATCAGGCTTTTAGATGCTGTAATTTCTGTTTCAAACTTTTAGGTACCAGGAACATTTTATACCCATTAAACTTAGCCATTTTTTGTGTAACAGTCAGATAGTAAAGTCTAGTAGTACCTTAAAACATGTTATGAATATGGGGTTCATCGGGTTCATATTTATCCGTCAGTCCTTCCTGAAAGTTGGGTTAAATGTCAGCCGGTTCGAGCATGAAAATCATTTCTTTAACCGTGAAATATTTTTTTTTTAAATGTTACGTAAAAAAAATTGCAGCAGCTTTTTAGTATTTTTTCTATTGTAGCAACACTAAATGGGTTGATTTGGTGAAATAAAAAAAATTTCGAATATTTTCATATGACTGGAGATTCTCGGTTGTTACAGGCAGATGCTCTTAAGGCAACCTTATTATGCAAATAGGGTTTTAAGGCATAACCTTATTATCTCTATTAGACAGGGACAGCAGAACGATTGCATATATAGTACTAGAAATACATGCATGCAACAACCTCTCGCCTATATTCTCCAAACATTGTTTCAATATGAAGTATTGGTAATTACGTCAACACTGAACGCAGGCTCGCGTTGCTCACGTCATGTTAGCACAGAGAAGAGATATACAGAGAGAAAACACGCGGCAAATTATGTCACGCCGATATATTCATTCTATTCACTACAGTAAATTATATTAATTCACTATTTTATTAAATTTTGACCATGCAGAGGAAAAAACTATACATATTATAGAAGTATTCATGTTTTTTTATGCAAGAGTTATATTTTGAGGCATTTATATCATTTGCTGCTTTGTTTTTTTATATATATAGGTATCTGAAACTCCAGCCAGTGCTTTTCACGAATTTAATAAGGAGTAAATAGGAGAAAAACAAACTCTTGCAACATAAAATGTTATGTTA